GCACTTACCAGTTCAATCCCAGGCTTCCCATATGGTCCCCTGTGTACCATAAGGTACCTGAGCATCACCAGGTGTGGCCTCCCCAAACAGAAACAAACCAAAAAGTTGTCCTAAGCTTAAGCTACCGAATCACCTATCGAGCCCCAAAAAAATCCTTTGAGAAAAGACTCCTTGGTAGCACTGCTCTGTTTGGGGTGCAGACTGATGATCATCTTGCTAACTGAAGGCCCGGGTGCGGGGGAGGGCATGTCCCATCTCCTAGGTCTCCAGGACTGCCGCAGCACTGGCATGGGCACGAAGCCTTCCCCATATGGTGCACTTTGTTCTGCTTAGAAGCCAGGATCTGCAGAGAGGTGAAGCAATTTGCCGAAGGCCACACAACTCACAGCCAGGCTTCCAGAACTGCTCCGCACTGGCCTCTCCCCGTGGGGATAGCTGTCCTGACTCCTCTGGACTCTAGACCCAGCCTCATTGCTTCCCCCGGAAGGGGCAGTGGGAGGGTCCAGCTGTGTCCTGCTTGATGGCTGGATACTGGGTCTTCAGAGGGAACTGGCAGCCCACTCACACCTCTCACTGCTGCACTGGATCAGACTCAGGGTTCTCGTCCCTCCTGGAAGCTGTGGGGACAGGGGTCAGCTTCACCCAGCCTTCAGGAGTCACCTCCACACACACACACACACACCCTGCCAAATACACACACAAATACACACACATATGCCACATATGCACACACATACCCTGCCCCCCGCACACACACACCACCATACACACACATACATACACACACATACATATACCCTGTCACACATACACACACCGCCACACACACATACATAAACACACATATACCCTGCCACCTGCCACATATGCACACACTGCCATACACACACATGCACACACACCCTGCCACACACACACTGCCATACACACATATATACCCTGCCACACACACACATACACACACATACCCTGTCACACACACACACTGCCATATACACATACATATACACACATATACCCTGCCTCCCCCACACATACTGCCATGTCACTCTGAGCTCTATCTCTTCCACAGTGAAAGAGGCAACATATGGCATTAACATTATCTTAATTATTTAATTTTTGATAACTGGTTACTAAAATATGACCAGCTCACTCATTATCGAGCATCGATATAGAGCTTGCCTCAACAACACAAATGGGGGCGTTGGTTTGTTTATTTGATTTTTGGCCACACCTTACAGTGCTCAGGGGTTACTCCTTGGCTCTGTGCTCAGGAATCACTCCTGGTAGTGCTCGGGAACCCTATGGGATGCCAGATATAGAGCCCAGGTCGATGTGCAAGCAAGTAGCCTAATACTGTACTATCGCACTGGTCCCGACAACACAGATGCTGACACTGGAACAACACAGAGAAGATCACTGTGTTCCCCTGCAAGGGTGACATGCAAATTCACGACATTACCCAAAAAGTTTAACGGTCATAGAGTCGAAGGAGTTAAAGGGTATGACTCACAGGTAGGGGCTTCAGGTTCCATCCCTGCCACCACATGCCCCCTGAGCACTGCCAGTTGTGCCCCCCAAACACAGAATCAGTAGTGGGCAGCCCAGTACCACTGGGTACGCAAAACAGAGAAACCCCAAGGAATGAAGACATGAGCACAACAAGTCACATGAGCACAACAAGTCACACAGTGAGTAAGTGGAAAATATCTACTCTAGCATGTTCCCATTCATGGCCCAGAGACACACCAGCCAGGGGACACACCCCACTGAGTCATTGGCACTGTCCCCATCAGCCAGGCGAACACGGGGCAGCCTGGAGAAACTTAAGAATTATTCCTTTTTCCACAAAATAGAGCTCATAGCCTAGTAATAAAGCCAGGCAATGGGCCGCCAAGCTACAGCAGGCGGTTAAGACACTTGCGTTGCTTGCAGCTGAACTTGGCTTGATCACAGGCTCACCATATAGTCCCTGAGCACTGTCAGGAGTGATCTCTGAGCACCCTTAGGTGTAGGCTCAAACTCCCGCCAAAGAAAACCATGCAATGCTGAAAGTAGACTATAGCCCAAACATGATTGCCACTCAATGCCTCTTTTGCAAACCACAATACCCAAAAGGAGAGAGAGAACAAAAGGGAATGCCCTGCCACAGAGGAAGGGTGGGATGGGGGTATGGGGGTGGGAGGGATACTGGGATCCTTGGTGGTGGGAAATGGGCACTGGTGGAGGGATGGGTGTTTGATCATTGTACAATTGAAACCCAAGCACAAAAATTTGTAAATCTACAACTGTACCTTATGGTGTTTCACTAACAAAAATTAAAAAATAAATTAAAAATAAAGAAAAAATGAAAAAAAATCAGTAAAAAAAAGAAAAAAAAAAGAAAGCCATGCAAGACAGACTGTGCCCTCATACAGAAATAAAAGTAGCCTGCCACTTCTGCTGACACTCGCCACAATCTTCAGTGTGTATTTTCTCTCTCTCTCTCTCTTATTTTTTAATTTTTAAAATTTTTTGACCTTTTGGGTTACACCTGGTGATGCTCAAGGACTACTCCTGGCTCTGCACTCAGGAATTATTTCTGACAGTGCTCAGGGGACTAAATGGGATGCCAAGGATCGAACCAGATTCATGCAAGGAACACACCCTCCCCGCTATACTATTGCTCTGGCCTCAGTGTGCATTTTCTCTAAACAATTCATATTTTTAAATATTTTATGGTACATACCATAAAGTCTTCATCCACCATGAAAATGAGAGTCGGTTTAGCCCCAGACACAGAAGGTTTCAAGCAATCATATTTTCATTCCTCCTGCAATGCTGTTGTTTGTTCCAGGTGTTGGAAGCAATGCTGGGCGCAGTTCCGGGCCCAGGGAACCTTTTATGGACGTCCTTTGTGCCTTACAAAGTGACTAGAAACACACCTGGGGCATCTCTTTCCAGGCCTGCGCCCCAGCTTTGTCTCTGACGCTTGCTCAAGAAAGGCTGCCCTTGTTCCCACAGGGCCTTGGGGAGTTGACTCAAAGGCTGACCAAGAGGGAGCCCTGGGCTTTGATCTACATTTTCCCCTGAATATCACCAAGAGCGACCCCCCAGCACAGAGCCAGGAATAGTCCCTGAGCATCATCAGGTGTATCACCTCCCAAAAGAAAACTCAAAAATAGTATCAAAGAAAAGTGCTCATAAACAGTATTCTCCTAGAGGGCGGTCCTTGTGGTTAGAAGAATTATAGGACTGACACAGCATGTGCTACGTCACTGTGAGGGGGCCCTGAAGAAATGAGCTGGACTCTTGCTCCATATCTACTGTGGTTTGGCTAATGCCGAAGAGAGGCCTTCTGGGGGCAGCCCGGCTCCTCTTTAATGGGATTTTTAAAAGAAGGTAGCATGGTTTTCAAGAACCCTACTATTGTTTTCAGTCAGGGCTGGAGTGATAGCACAGCGGTAGGGTGTTTGCCTTGCACGCAGCCAACATGGCCAACCCAAGTTCGATTCCTCTGCCCCTCTTGGAGAGCCTGGCAAGCTACCGAGAGTATCTCGCCCACACGGCAGAGCCTGGCAAGCTCCCCGTGATGTATTCGATATGCCAGACACAGTAACAACAAAGTCTCCAATGGAGACGTTACTGGGCCTGCTCGAGCAAATCGACGAACAATGGGAGGGCCTTTACCTTCTTTTACCTTTACTGTTGTTTTAAGCTTATGATGGGACTGCCCCATACCCACCCCTGACGTGTCTATATCCCTCCATTGCCGTCCCAAAATCCCTTTTTGACCCCCTGCCCTAGGCTGGGACTGGAGCGATAGCACAGTGGGTAGGGCATTTGCCTTGCATGCAGCCAACATGGCCAACCCAAGTTCAATTTCTCTGCCCCTCTCAGAGAGCCTGGCAAGCTATCGAGAGTATCTTGCCCGCACGGCAGAGCCTGGCAAGCTACCAGTGACGTATTCGATATGCCAAACACAGTAACAAGTGTCACAATGGAGACGTTATTGGACCCGCTCAAGCAAATCAATGAAAAAACGGGAGGACAGTGACAGTGCCTTAGGCTGCCTTAGTTCTGTTTTATTGGCAGCTCTGCTCTTAAGGGGATGAACTGGGAAAGTTCTGGACAGATCCCAAGAGGGATTTTCTGGGAAAATTCTGGAAAGTTTAGGCAAAGTAATACCACAATATATGTGTCCGTATACCTTTTAATGCAAGAAATACGAGAGGAAGGAAAGAAGGAAAGGAGAGGAAGAATGGAGAGAGGAAAGAAGGGAGGAAGAGGGGAAGACAGGAAGGAGGGAGGGGCGGAGGGCCAGAGTGGGAGCACACACGGGCAATGGGAGGGATGAAGAGAAGGTTAATCCAAGTCCTGTGATTTGTGGGGCTGGAGCGATAACACAGTGGGTAGGGTGTTTGCCTTGCATGTGGCCCACCCGGGTTCGATTCTCAGCATCCCATATGGTCCCCCGAGCATCGCCAGGAGGAATTCCTGAGTGCAGAGCCAGGAGTAACCCCTGAGTATCGCCAAAAAGCAAACAAAAACAAAAAAAAAAACAAAAACAAACAAACAAAAAAAACCCAAGTCCTGTCATTTGCACGCAACCCCCGGATGCTGGGAGTGCCAGGTGGGGGTGCAGGTTAAAATGAGGAGCCCAAGTCAGGGACAGTGCTGGGAAAGGTGGTGTGGTTCCTGGTGTACTGTGGCAAGGGGCAGAGGCAGGTAGGGACGTGCGCTCGGCTGGGTGCCCAGGGGCGGCAGGCCTGGTGCGCGGGAACCAGCCTCACCAGAGCCGTGTGTGTGTGTGTGTGTGTGTGTGTGTGTGTGTGTGTGTGTGCACGCTGACTCAGCCCGGCAGGGGCACTGGGGGGGGGGGGGGGGACGGCCCTTGCACCCCGTTGCCGCCTCCTCACCTATAAAGTGAGCTGTCGGGCTCGTGGGCTGTGCCACGTCTCCCGCTGACCCACTGTATTTCCTTTGCTGGCTGCCTGGAGCTCCAACTCAGCTCACTCATCATGGACCCCAACTGCCCCTGCTCCACTGGTAAGCGCCTCGGGCTCCGGGCAGAGAGATCTTTCTTTCCGAGGGCACACACTGCGGGGTCTCAAGCCACTGCTGGGGGAGCCGGAGCTTCTCTTCGGCTCCCGTGACCTTCCCCTGCCTTCCTCTCTCCTTTGGGCTTCTATTTCGGTCAGAAGGGGATGGAGGCTCCCAAGGGGCCTCCTGCTGTCTCCTGGCCCCCTCTGTCAGCCAGAGGCTGCTGGGCCGCGACTCTGCGCTCTGTCCAGGTCTCTGAGCTTGATAGTAGAGTGGGGGACATTGCCGCTTTGGGGCTCAGAGGTCAGACTCAGCTCCAGCACCAGTGGACCTGGACGTGATCTGGAGAACAGAAGCTTCGTGAGCAAGAAGGCCAGGAGGCTCACCAGACCCCTGTGGGAAAAGCGGGTGGACTGCAGGGCTGAGGGGGACCCATGCACGGGGATACAGTGTTGCCCCTGCAGCTCGGCTCCCAGCCCCACCTGCCTTCTCTCTCCCTGCAGGCGGCGCCTGTACCTGCGCTGGCCCCTGTAAGTGCAAAGACTGCAAATGCAGCAGCTCCAAGAAAAGTGAGTGTGGGTCCCAAAGTGGGGGGCGGGGAGGTGGATGCCGGGGCGGGGAGACCCTTAAGCTTAGCAGCTAAAGATCAGGACAGAGCCGCTGGTGTCACTGCCTCTGCATCTGGGTCTGACCAGAGCTGTCCAGATGGCTGAGTAACAACTCACAGCGTGGGGAAACTGAGGCCCACTGGAAGGAGAAAATGGACCGTGGATGACACCGGAAGCAGAACTGTGTTCCTTTCCTTGGGTGCCTTTTCTTCTGAGCCCCGTGGAGCCCGGGAGAACTTCATGCCCATGAACCTGGTGGCCGAGGGGGTCTCTGGGGCCTCTGGGACCCGCCAACGCTGTGCTTCCCGGAGAGGCAGCTCAGAACTTCTGTGGTTCTGGCAAGATGGCTCTGCCCTGATCTTGGGGATCCTTAGGCTGCATGGTTCTGGGTTGAGGGGGAGGGAGAGCTGCCTGCCTTTGCCCTGCCTCTGATCTCCGGGCATCCGCTCTGGGGCTGAGGCGGGGCAGGAAGCCTCTACTGAGTGGGCAGGTCCGAGCGTGCCACGCTGAGCTCAGGTCTCCTGCACTTCGGGCGGGACCCACGCGGGACCTGTGTGTGGGGTGTGGAGAGGGATAGTGCCAGTGGGTCCACGCTGACGTCCCTCTGTCCTCTCGTCCCCAGGCTGCTGCTCCTGCTGTCCCGCGGGCTGTGCCAAGTGCGCCAAGGGTTGTGTGTGCAAAGGCGCGTCTGACAAGTGCAGCTGCTGCGCCTGAGATGGGCCGGGTGGGCCCTGCTTGCGGATGTGTATGGAGGCAGGGCACACATGCCCGCCACTGGGGAGGATTTTGTACTACATTCTGTTTTCTACTGTAGATTTGAATTATAATAAACCCTTCTAGGGGATTCTGCTTCCAGTGTCTTGTGATGTATTGGGAACGTGGGCCCCGGTTCTAGCAGGGGAGAGTGGTGGGGGGCATTGGAGGTCATGGGGGTCACTTCCGGCCTGACCTTGCTGTGCTTTGCAACGGTCGCTGCGTTTTCCAGGACGACAGTTGGTGCACGTGGCCACCACCCCTGCAGAGAGCTTCTGGCCCCTGCACTTTTGGTGCCGGTGTCACTGCCCGGAACCTCTGCTGGGGTCCCTGCTTCCCTCTGGGTGCTGGCCAGGGGGTCCCAGTGGAGGGGGCCTGGGGCTCAGAGATGGGGGAGACCCAGCGGGGTCTCGAGTAGCTGAAACCAGACGTCCGCGGCGAGCACGCACGAGTCCCAGCAGGGACCTCAGCCCAGGCCTCTTGCAAAGCAAAGAGGCTTTGCCAACGGCAGTGACAGCTGAAGCAAAAAGGCCCGGAAGTGAGGAAGAGGCTTGTGTGTTGGGGACAGAGAAGACTAAGGGGGTCGGAGATGAAGGTATGGGGTAACTGCATGCGGCTGCACATGCCCAGAGTGACCGTGGTACTGCTGCAAGTAGGCTCAGCTGCAGGGGGTCCTCCCCTTCCCCTAAGCACTGCTGGGGCAACCCGGGATCTCTGGCTTTAGCCCCCCCTCCACTGAACCGGTTTGCTGGGAATCTCCAGGAGGGTCCCGGGGACTCCTGAGCACCTCCTGGGAGGGCCCCCAAACAAATGAAAAAGCAGGCCTGGGGTTGTACACACACAGTGTTTGCTGTCTGGGGATCACCTGCATGCAAGCAGACACTTTGTTGTCAAGACACATCCTCATTCCCCACCTCCTGCCTGATTGGGGTGCATGCACACTCAGTCGTGGTGCTCACTGGGGGGTCCCATCCCATGGTGGTGGTGGTGGGGACCATTGGCCAGGTCCCTGGCAGGAGCCTCGCCCACTGAGATGTGGCAGAGGTGGACGGACTTGCCAGAGCCTCTCCCCGTCTTCAGTTGTGGCTCCATTGGGACACGGCCACATGTGCAACCAAGTGGCGTTGGGGGTCCCAGATGGGAGAGCTGCGGGGGCCACAGTTGGTGCCAGTTCTGGGCACTGGAGAATTGGGGATCCAGGCCTCATGTTGCCAGGCAGAAGTTGAATCCCTTGGGTTCAGATAGTTTTTGGTTTGGGGGCCACACCTGGTGATGCTCAGAGCTGACGCCAGGCTCAGCGATCACCCCTGGCCAGCTGGGGTTACCACATGGGATGGCGGGGATTGAGCCAGGTCAGCGACATGCAAGGCCAGCACCCTGTCCACAGTACTATCACCCTCACTCTGTATGTTTTTTTTTTTTAATTGAATTTGAGGGTCGGGGAGTAGGAGTGGAATCCCAATAGGTGTCTGGAGCCAGCCTCACCAGTGACTCTGTGTGTGGACCTGGGGTGCTGCGTGAGCCCTGCGTTACCTGGGATGACTCAGACCATCCTGGCAGGGCCTGGGGATCTCTAGGCTGCACCCAGAAATATTTGGAGAGCCACACGGTACCGGAGATCAAACTAGGACCAGCTGCCCTAATTCCGGTAATCTTTCAACTCAGAAGCCTGGATTTTCAGCAAGGGCCTCTCAGAGACACTTGGGGAAACACAGTGGATGGTCCCCGGGGTCTCAAGGCCAGGGCTGATTTCCCAGCTCTTTACAGCCCCCACTGGGGGGAAGTGGAAGGCAGAGCGGGGCATGGGGAGCGGAAGCCAGCTCCCTCCGCGGGAGGCCAAGGGGCTGGGGGTACCCCATCTGTGCTTGTTCATGGAGAGGGAGGACAAAGAGCCTCGGCAAGGCAGCCTGGTGGAGAAGGCAGCCTGGCCTGGCCTCCTTGGGGCTCACCCCACGACACCCTCGGGAGGGCAGAGGGCGCGGCTGTCTCCTGGTGACAGGGTTTGGCCCGGACCTCCTGGGGCTGGGGCAGAGTGTGCCGTGCTACCGGCATGCTCACTCTGCCAGGCCCCATGCCAGGGGCACAAGTGCTCCTGGCAAGTGCTCTTTCCCAGCTTCACTTTCAGGGATCCCAGCACCACCCACACCCCTGCGAGACGGGCACGCTGTGTCTGCTTCGACCTCCTGCTTCCCGCTGCTGGCTTCTGAGTCCTGCGGGTGGCGATTGCCCGCTCTCCACTGGGCCTCACTCCCCTGGGGTGCAGGGCCCCGGCCCCCTTGAGGTCAGTGGCAATGAGATTCATTTATAGGCGGCTTTTGTTTTGCTTTAACTCAGTGCCAGGTTTCGTCCCAGAAGTTGATACCTTGTTGAATTGGCGAAGCCCGGAGGAGGTCTGGCTCAGGAGGCCACCCAGTTACACCCCCCAACCCCACCCTGAGCCCCACCCCAAACCCCACCCTTGATTTATCAACCACGAGGTCTGTCTGAACCTCCTGTTTCCTGTTTGTCGCCTGTCAAACAGGGACCATGGGCTTGCTCTTCAAAGCCCTACCACACGTTTCTCACTTCCTTGGCTCTAGGTAGCTCTACTGAACTTGTTTTTCCCTTTTCGGAAAAGCCCATGTCCCCTCTTTGTTTTTGCTTTTTTCTTTTTTTGCTTTTTGGGTCACACCCACCAATGGAGAGGGGTTACTCCTGGCTCATGCACTCAGGAATTACTCCTGGCGGTGCTTGAGGGACCATATGTGTTGCTGGAAATCGAACCCGGGTCAGCCGTGTGCAAGGCAAATGCCCTACCTGCTGTGCTACCGCTCCAGCCCCGCCCATGTTCCCTCTTGGACATGTATTTTTCCCTTCCCTTACATTTTTCTAAATGTTTCATTCCATAAAGATGATTTTGATATACTAAACAACACACACACACACACACACACACACACACACACACATACACACACACCAGTAATGTGGCTTCCCCCCACACACACACCAGTAATGTGGCTCCCCCCGTGGGGTTGAGGCTTGGGGTGTCTAGCTCTTGGCACTTGTGGGCCCTAGGCCTGGTAGCCCACGAATTCCCTGAGGGTCCATGGTGTTCCTACCTCATGGACATCGTGGAAACCATGTGCTGGTACCCAGGGAGAGACGGCAAGTCTCAGCTGTCCTGCCGGGCAAGGTCTGGCCCCAGTGCCTGCTGAATCCAGGGCCAGTTTTCTTGTCAATTTTAAGAGCTTCGGCAGAGCAGAAGCAGAGAGGGGACACGTCCTCCACCTGAGCTCAGGGACCCCAGGGAAGCCATTGGTGGTTTCTGTCCTCAGTCTCTTGTCTCCTACCAGTGCTCCCACAGCTGATGCAGACAGTCTGTGGGGGCCGGAGCGATAGTACAGCAGGGAGGGCTCTTGCCTTGCACGTGGCCAACCCGGGTTCAACCCCCAGCATCCCATAGGGTCCCCCAAGCACCGCCAGGAGTCATTCCTGAGTGCAGAGGCAGGAGTAACCCCTGAGCACCACAGGGTGTGGCCCCAAACAAAACAAAAAACAAACAAATAAAAACACCTAGACAGTCTCTGTGAATTCCAGTACAGCCCCTCAGCCCCATGCTCTGGTGGGCTGAGGGGGTTGTAGGCAGGCAATCGTGTCCCCACAGGTATGCCCCCCAGTCACAAAGGTCAGAGTGCCTCTTCCCTGCTCCCTGGGTACCCTGAACCCAGATCTAATTGAATCTGAGGGTGGAGTCAGCTCCCTGAGCTGTCGGGGACGTGGGGGTGGTGGCAGCTGGGACGGGAGGAGGGATGCAGGAACCCAGGTCAGTCCCCAGACCGAGCTGTGCCCCTCACAGATCCCTCCTTGCCCTTCTCTCTCTGTGGTGGTCTATCTCCTGTCCCCTGCACACACTGGGGCTTCCCGGGTAGGGGAGGACGGGTGGGGGGATGCTGACTGGTGTCTGCCTGGATGCCAGGAGCCGGGGCTTCTGGTCTTGGGGGTCACTCCCAGCTATACTCAGCCGATGGGGTGCAGGGCAATTCAGTACTCAGCCAAAGGATGCTGTTAGGGTCTTGTAGCATTGGGGAATTCCCAGTGTCACCCTGACAGTGCTCAGGGGACGCGAGTGCTGCACCCAGTGATGCTGGGGATCCTGCATATGTGCAAGGCCTGAGCCCTCAGCCCTGTGACATCTCCTGCCCTGCCCTGCAGTGCTAGTTGTGGCGCTACAGGACCACTCTGAGTGCAGTGCTCAAGGGCTCTCGAGTTGGCAAGGCTCAAATCTGGGGCTCCCACTGCAAAACACATGCCTTGGGTCATCTGTCCAAGCCTGGGCAGGACGATTCCAAACCCTCCTGGAAGAAGACTGAGACCAGGTGGAGAAACATGGCAGGGGGTTGGGATCCCGGGAGGAAAGCAGCAGACTGGTCCCCAGGGTTCCAGAGGTTGTCTGGCAAAGCTGGGGGTTGAGATTTGAGCTCCATTGCACCTCCGCCTCCCAGGACTAGGCCATGAGTAGGGGCAGGCTGGAGCCATATGTAGACCACCTGGGCGCTCCATCCTATTTCCCAGTGGCCTCCCTGGGGCCCCCAGAGGAAGGCTGAGCCAGAGGGTCTCCCAGCAGTTTGGACATGGTGGGTCACGGTCCTTTAGAGAGGGACTCAGAGAGAGAGAGAGAGAGAGAGAGAGAGAGAGACAGAGACAGAGACAGAGACAGAGACAGAGACAGAGACAAAGACCCATACTTTCCCCAGAACTCTCAGGGCTGGTCCCAGGCTCGAGTCAAGCCTGGATTACACTTGACTTCTCTCAGGGAACCCCTCCACGGAGAACCCCTCCACCACCAAGGTGCTCAGAGGAGTCCCCAAAAATCAGGAAGGGGGAGGTCCGACTCCCCACGCAGCGAGGGGGGGAGAGGTGCGGCCAGTGCTCAGACACAGGTCCCAGCTGGCGTCTTGGCAGAGCCAGGCCCGAAACCC